TTTCCCTAGTTGAGCCTTCAGAGAATGATGCAGCCCTACCTTGATTTCAGCCTTAGGAGACCCTGAGTGGAGGACCCAAGTAAAATGTGCCAGACTTCTGATCCTTGGAAACTGTGAGATGATAAATTTATGCAGCAATAGAAAACTAATACAGACTTGAAGGAGGGGTAGGAGTTAGTCAGAAGACTAAAGGGAAGAGCATTCCACACAGGGAACAGCATCTGTGAAGGCCCAGAAGTAGAATAATGATAGCTTACATTTACTGAGTGCCTACTATGTGCCACGCTTTGCGCTAAGTGCTTTATGTGGTCTTTTTGAGGAACGGAGACATTGCCACTGCTGGTGAAGTTGAAGTGTAAGGTATTAGCGGAGAGTTGCAGGAAGTGAGGTTAGCAAGTGAAAGATCACACAGGGACTTAAAACTGTGTTAAGAATTTTGGACTAATGCTAAATGAATTGGGAAGTTATTAAAGGATTTTAAGCAGGAGATGGACGTGATATGATTTGCATTTTTAAAAGATCACTGGCTGTTGTGGGGAGGGCAGATTAGAGGGGGCAGAGTGGATGTGGGGAGGTCAGCTGGGAAAATGTAGCAGTTATTAAGGTGAGAGATGACAAAGACCTGGACCGGATGATGGAGGTGGAGTTGGAGACAAGTTCCAGGTGTATTTTGTGGGTAGAACTGCCAGGATGAGGGGATGGGTTGGATTAGATCATGGTGATGGGGAAGGGGATGTCCAGGATATCTCCCAGTTTTCCAGTTTGGGAAACTCAAGTATGAAGGCACTTTTGCTGGATCTTTCCCCATTTCTTCATCTTTCATGGTGGACCTCTTTCACATTGGATCTCTTCTAGAATCACTCCTTCCATGATCTCATCCAATCCAATGGCTGTAAATGCTATTTATATGCTGACCCCTAAACTAAATCTCCTAAAACCTCCACTTGGGTGTCTAATAGTCCCTCAAACTTACAAGGTTCAATACTGAACTCTTATGATCCCTCCTACAAGCCTGCTCTGGCCCAGTGTTTGCTATCTTGATAAAGGGCACTTGGTTGCTCAGCCCAAAAACCTAGGAGTCATCTTTGATTCCTTTCTTTTTTCTTAAACTTATGTTTGGCTGTGTTGAGTCTTTGTTGCTGCTTGTGGGCTTTCTCTAGTTATGCCGCACGGGCTTAGTTGCTCCGTGGCATGTGGGATCTTCTCAGACCAGGGATCAAACCCATGTCCCCTGCATTGGCAGGCAGATTCTTAACCACTGCGCCACCAGGGAAGCTCTGGCCTTATTGCTTTTTATTCAACTTGCCAAGCATACTGTAGCCTCAGGGTCCATTCCCTCCCTGCATTCAGGACTCTGACCCAGGGCCCTTCTCTGATTGCCTGATTTAAAATAGAACTCTTGGGAATTTCTTGGCAGTCCAGTGGTCAGGACATTGTGCTTCTACTGCTGGGGGGCCCAGGTTTGTTCCCTGATGGACTAGGATCCCTCAAGCCGCATGGCACGACCAAAACAAACAAACAAACAAGAGACCAAAAAATGGAACGCTCTGTCACTCTCCATTCCCTTAATCTGCATTGTTTTCTTTCCCGTGAACTTATCACCACAAGAATATATTACATTTTTGCTTATCTGTTTCCCCTGCCAGATTGTTGGCAACCCAAGGTGAAGGACTCTGTTTTGTTTCCTCCTGTTCCCTAGTAGCTAGCATAGAATCTGGCAAAAAGGAGCTCCTCAGTAAATATGTGTAGAATGCCTGAGTGAGTGAATCTGTCAAGCTGGGGCAGACTGATGGAGAAGCAGATTTACAGAGAAGTTAAGTCCCAGCCCGAGACACGTTAGATTTGACATACTCAGGAGACCTCAAACAAGGAGAAATAGATTTCAAGCAGGCAGTCAGTATACTGGTGCATAACTCGGGAGAAACAGGTGAGCTACGTCTGTGCTCTTGTATATCTATGTTGGGATGTGTGTGCCTCTGCACCTGTGCATATACTTGAGCCTGTGTGCATGCCTCAAGGAGTGCATGTATGTGTGCATGTGTGTATGTGTGTTGGGGGAGGGTTCCTGCTTCTCTTGTATCTATGTGTCTGCTGTGCGTGCACCCGAGGGATGAAGGCGTGTGGGCCTATGCTTAGGATGAAGAGAGAAAATGTCTGTTCCTAGCTGCTGAAAAGCAAATGTTTCTGAAGAGTAAAAACCCTTTCCACACAGCCCTGGAGACTGGACCCTGGCCACAGTGAGAGGCTGAACCAACCAGCTGTTTCTGTGCCTTCCCAAAAGGACTTGAGTATTTGCTTCCAACTAGGCAGGCTGTTCTTCTCAGGGTAGAAATTTGGGTCACAAACGATCTTGGCAAATATTCTTTCTTAGACGGTATTGTTTAGTTTGTTTGGGGGAGGGCGGGGAATGGAGTGGGGAAGGGGGAACCAGGGACAACACAGATCTCTCTGTGTAGCTGGGGAATCATAGGCACTTCAGAAGGCCTGAGCCAGGAAAATGTCAGGTTTTTACATAGAAATGCAGTGCTGGAAGCTCCAGACTTCAGAAAATGCTCCTGCCTGAGAACTTGGTCCAGGCCAGTGGCAGCAGATGAAGGGTTAGAGCTATCAGTGCCATCTTCTCCCTGCACCCAGCCCGAGATGCCCAAACTCACAGATTACAGTGCTTGGTGAGAAGGGTCCCTCACCTCTGTCCACTGTCCCGACCACTTCAGGGCCTGCGTTGTTTATGCTGCCCACCTTCTCCTTGTGTCCCTAGTTCTCTCTTTGAATTTTCTAGTTTGATAAAAAAAAAGTTCATTTAAAAAAAGTGTCATTAAGAATAAAAAAGGACCTGTAACACAGGCTTCACAATTTATAGAGTTAATTCCAAGTACTTTTGATATGCCTCTCATCCATTTGAAAGTTATAAATATTTTTCCTTCTTGGGGAAGCTGGTGGGAGAAACCTTCTGTGCTCAGGTCCCTAACCACTGACAAAGTGTCAGGCCCAGGAACTCTGTGATCCTGGTACAATTCTGACTTTCTAAGGCCTGGGCTCCTGATCTCTGAAAATGACCTCATCTCCTGCTTGTCTCTGGAGCTTATGGGTACCCACTTCCTTCCCCAGCTATCTATCTACCACAGACGGGGCAAGGAGGAAACTGTAGTTCTCTCTCCTCTCCAGTTCTTAGAGCTCCCTGGGTTGAAAGAACCACAGAAAGTACAGAATCATAGTACTCAGGGTTCAGAGGGGCCCTCAGAATCATCGCAATCAGTGTTTCTCAAACTTTGCTGCATAGAGCCCCAGAGCTCTGCCAAGGGGTCTCAGATGTGGCCAAAAGGTTTGAGGGCAGAAGACAGGACGGAAGCTTTGCTGTGTTTATTCCTCTTTTATATGGTGGGCTTGTGCATACAAATTCATTGGAGAAAGGGCTTCCACTAACCAAAAGTTTGAAAACCACTTAGGTAGTCCAAATTTTCCTTGAGTGGCTAACCATCCTCCCTTCCTTAGTCTGCTCCATGTCCCTTGGTCTCTGCTGCCCCCGTCTCTCCCTCAGGCAGACACCGTGGCTGGGAGATGAAGCACAACTGAAGCCTCTTGCTCTCTGCTTACGTGGAGTTTGCACTGTCTGCCACCGCGCAGCCCCTGACTGCTTCTCTTGTCCCAGTTTCAATTTCATTCTTGGTGTTTCTTTTCTCTTTGGGATTGAAAATATTTATCGAGTCAACAAATATCCTTGCACTGTTCTGAACACTAAAACACCCACATTTTGTTAAAATTCTGTAAGTATGAATTCTTGTTTCAAGGAGAAAGTTAAACTTATGTTTATCATTCTTATAGCCAGGTCAGGTATATTAGATAAGACAGGCATGGTAATAAATGGATAAATAAATGAATTAATATATTCTTTACTTTTCTTAGTCACTATTCCTCTTTACTACCTGACTCTGAGGCCTGGGGTAGGAGGGAGAGCAGGAACTCAAGAAGTCTTTCTCAGACATGGATGCACAGGTAATAATATTTATAATAATCATCAGCGGAATTCCCTGGTGGTCCAGTGGTTAGAACTCTGCACTTGCACTGCGGGGGGCCCAGGTTCGATCCCTGGTCGGGGAACTGAGATCTCGAAAGCCATGCAACCAAGTTAAAAAAAAAACAAAGAAAAAAAAACATCAGTGCACAGGTAATAATACCTATAAAATAACAATAAATGGCTGGCACTGCTCTTAGCATTTTATGTATATTAACTCATTTATTTATTTACTTATTATTATTTTTGGCTGCGCGGTTTGCGGGATCTTAGTTCCCTGACGAGGGATTGAATCCGGGCCCTCTGCAGTGAGAGCACCCGGTCCTAACCACTGAACCACCAGGGAACTTCCTAACTCATTTATCTTTACAACAACCCTGCATTGAAGGTCCTATTAGTATATCCACTCCATAGATGAGGAAGCAGAGGCTCAGAGAGGTTAAATAGTTTGCCCAACATATACAACTACAGTGCCTGGCAGCTAGGATCTCTCCACTGGGTGCTCACCGTGGCACTCAAGGCCCTTCACAATCAAAACAAAGTGCACATTTGCAGTCTGAACTCCTCTTTCAGATTCTACCTCTTGCTGCCAGCCGTGGACATCCCCTCACTATCCCCCACCCTATCTCTGCCTCCCGAAACCTGACCCATCCTTCAAGGCCCTGCTCAGATGCTACCTTTCCCATGAAGCCTTCCCTGGCCCACCATGCTGGGAAGGCTCTCTCCTGCCTTTGTGTTCCCCAGGCATTCTGCCTTGTATCATATTATTCTGTGTGTGTGTGTGCATGCCCCCCGTGTGTGTGTGTGCAAACCTGGCTCTACGCCATAAGCTTCCTGAGGGCAGGGCCTCACCAGGCCAAGTCAGTACACGTATTAAAAAATAATTACTCCACCCCCCCCAGCCTCCCCAAGTCCTTGGCTTTCCTGGGGACTTGCGCTGGGAACAAAAAGTCAGTCCTTGACAAATGTCTGGGACTCTCTGCCAGGTGGGGTCACTTGGCCAGTTGTGGAGCCACAGTTCTCTGGTGGTCTTGTGGTCTTCTCCACTCTGGGGCCCCTCATCCCCCAATACCTCTAGGCTATGGCGCCCCTCTCTACTGAAGATCCCAGGAGCCCCGACCTCAGTGGAGCTGAAGATCCAGGGACACGGGGAGTGGGATGTAGGGGAAAACTGGAGCCCCCGCCCCCTTCAGTCTTAATGTTCTGCCCTGATTATGCCTCGAATATGACTCCCAGAGAAGGCAGGGGGGGATGTGGAGACGAAGGAGGACGGCGAAGAGAGGTACCTAGGGAGGGCAGGGGAAGGCAGGCAGAAGGAAAGATACGCGTGGTGGGAGGTGGCGGGAGGTGGCGGAGGCTCGACCTCGGGCCGCTCTGGACTCTTCGCCAGGGCCAGGAAGGACCCGAGTCTGGGCGGCGGAGGACAACTTCTGCCAGCAGCCCGCAGGTCCTGTCCGTCTCCCGCGCTGTGGTGCGCAGCCCAGCGCCAGCCCTCCCGGGGGAGCTGGAGCCCGGGTCGTGCGGTTCCCCACCCGGGGCCACCCGGGCGCCCACCCCCACGCCCACCGGCCTCCTCACCTTCGGGACCTGAGGGAGCGACGGGCCAGCGGAGCCCTGAGTCCGGGCCGGGCTGGGTGGGGGGAGGCGCTGTTCTTCCCCGCGCTAGCTGCGCCCGGGGTTCCGCAGCACCCGCCCGGGCTGTGGCGCCATCAGCTACTGCGAGGCTGCGGGGCGGTCGGGCCGGGGCTCCGGGGGGCTCCCGGGCGCCGAGGGGGGTCCGGGGCGGGCTCCAGGCGTAAACACCCAGCAACGTGACCGGAACTGGCGAACGAGCAGTAGGGGGGAAGGGGGGGCGGGAGAGATAAGGGGGGAGGGGAGGGACCTGGGACTGGCGAGGAGGGGCCGTGGGCGGGGCGGGGGGAGGGGAGGCTGGCTGAGCGCGGTCGGGGGAGGGGGAATCCCGGGAGTCCCGGGAGCCCCGGGAGCCAGGCCTAAGGACCCCGGCGGCCTGCCGAACTCGCGGAGCCGGCTTTGCCTGGAAGCTGGAAGGGAAACCCGGGGAACCCGCCGACCACTTGGAGAGCAAGGGCGCGGCGGGCGTATCAGCACCGCGGACAGCGCCCAGGCCCGCAGGCTGCGATCCGCTCCTCCCCTCTGCCCACCCCCTGGCGTAGAAACCTGAGACAGTGCCCCCCACTGGCCCAGGGAAGGGTTGGGGTTGGGGGGTGAGCTGCCCAGGGGTCAGAAAATCTACCCTGTGCCTCAGATCTGTCACTAGCTGTGTGACCTTGGGTGAGTCACGTCACCTCTCTGGGCGGCCTCTATTTGAGGGGCCCAAAAGCCTAGAGAAGATCCTTTTAAAACCCTAACTAAAGTCCAGAACATTGGGGTTGACCCGTTTTCACTGTACATGGGAGGTTTCTGGACCGGACTGCTTGGCTTCTAATTCTGGGTCTACCAATACCTTCCTCCTTCTCGGACCCCAGTCTCCTCATCTGTAAAATGGGGTAATGATGGTCTACACGGCTCATAAGATCTTTGGGTTGTTGTGAGGTTTAAATGAAATAATGCATGTAAAGTACATACAACAGTGCTGAGTGCTCAGTAGGCATTCTTGCTCATGATGGCAAGGGACCAGGTGGCACTGAGTGAGTGGCAGATGGTTCAGAGTTCCCTCTGGGTGAGTCATTTCCATCCCTGCCTTCAGGGACTGGAGGAGGGGGCTGAGGGGCTTCAGACTAAAGGGCTGGTCTGGCTTTTCCCACGCTGTTGCCAGCCGAATACTTCCTTCCCTACCCTCCTGGGCCAAATATCCAGAGAAATATTCTACCTTTGTCTCCAGAACTGGGAGACCTTCGCATGAGGGCCTTGGGGAAGGTTCCAACGACTCATCAAAGGTCATCCTGCCTTTTCTCTATGGATTCCTTTGCTCCCGGTCCTTCCTAGTCAACTTTCAAACCTTAACTGGACTTGGGCGTCAATGGATAAAAGCTTTAGCTGCTCTTGGCAGATTCTCAAAGAATTGAAATTACTCTCTTAGTTGGCTTGACAGGCAGTGGGGTTCAAAGGCAACTAAAATCCCACCCTGTGGTAACTTTAGCTTCTAGCTGTGCTGAAGGTAGCTCCTCTTCACCCCATCTCCCCTGAGGAAACCCCTGGGAGAGGAGCAGAAAGGCCAGCCCAGTCCTGCTGCTTCGTCCCTTGCTGTCCCTCCTGGGGCAGCATTCCTGGGCCATGTATTGTGTGTGTGTCTCCAGCAGGGCTATGGGTCTGATAACCCATTGATTTACCAGTTCTGATGAACCAACCCCTCAATTTCATGAGATATTGGTAAGAAGGATGAAAGGTATGTTTTGTATCCCCAGAAGACATGTGGTATGAAGCAGCTGAAAACCTGGGCTCTGGTCTGAGCTCTCTTACTTACTAGTTAGGTAATTCTGGGGAAGCCTTAACCTCTCTGAGCTCCAGTTCCTCCTTAAAATAGTAAAAAAGGAAAAGCAACATCTACTCCGCCAACAGGATCATTGTGGGGTTGTCATGAGGTGAGAGTGAAAGGGTTTTGTAAAGTGCACGCAGATGGAATTGTTATAACCAGGACCCAAATGTTTTTCTCCTTGATCAGTATCAGGATGGATCCTGGAGGGACTTCCCTGGTGGCACAGTGGTTAAGAATTCACCTGCCAATGCAGGAGACATGGGTTCGAGCCCTGGTCCGGGAAGATCCCACATGCTGCGGAGCAACTAAGCCTGTGCACCACAACTACTGACCTTGCGCTCTAGAGCCCACGAGCCACAGCTACTGAGCCTGTGTGACACAACTACCGAAGCCCGCGTGCCCAGAGCCTGTGCTCCACAACAAGAGAAGCCACCACAATGAGAAGCCCACACACCGCAACAAAGAGTAGCCCCCGCTTGCCACAACTAGAGAAAGCCCGCGCACAGCAACAATGAAGACCCAATGCAGCTGAAAAAAAAAAAAAAAAAGAATCTGCCTTCCAGTGCAGGGGACGCGGGTTTGATCCCTGGTCGGGGAACTAAGACCCCACATGTCGCAGGGCAACCAAGCCCGCGCACTGCAACTACTGAGCCCGCGCACCACAACGAAAAATCCCATATGCTGCAACTAAGACCTGACACAGCCAAAAAAAAAAAAAAAAAAAGATGGATCCTGGGACTCTGGCTTTTCACCAGCTGAAGCAAACAGCTCCAGATGCCTGTCTGATGGGTGGCCCTGCCTGGTCATGGGCGGCTCTAGCCTTGCCACAAGAAGTGCTTCTGACAGAGTCCTGCACTGGGCCAAGCTCCCAGCTGGGCCCCTAGGGCTGTCCGTGGGACACTTGCAGGAAGAAGATCCACATGTGAGACAACAAAAGATGTGCACAAAAGTATCCAAGGAATAACTGAAAATGATGAACCAGCAGAGCTAGGGCTTCAGCTTTTGGGCAAGGAGACTTTGAGGTGCCTCCTTGGAGGAGGTTAACAATCAGTCAACACACAGAGGACAGTAATACTGAGCAAAGCTGGCTGCATGGTCCTATACCTGACATTATGGGGAGACCCAGAGACATATTATGACATACGGAGATTATGATATTGCGGATGATGATGCTGATAATAACACTTATTAAGCATGTTCTATATGCCAAGCCATCCACTAAATACTTAAAAAAAAACATATTTCTATTTTCAAAATTAAACTTGTAACCAAGTCAAAGAAAACTAAATTGTATAAAAAGTGTACATCAGGCCTCAGAAGTAACGTTATTTTGAGCTGAGCACTTTACCCACATAATCTCATTGAAACTTCAGAGAAATCCTACTGGAAAGGTTTATTCCCATTTGTAGGTGGGGAAAATGAGGCTCAAGAGAGGTTAAGTTTGATACCACCCAGATTGTAAGCAGCAGAGCCAGGATTCAAACTCCAACCCGATCGAGGCCAGAGGTGGGGGACTTCCCTAGTGGTGCAGTGGTTAAGACTCCATGCTCCCAATGCAGCAGGCCGGGGCTCGATCCCTGGTCAGGGAACTAGATCCCACATGCATGCTGCAACTAAGAGTTTGCATGCCACAACTAAGGAGCCCGTGTGCTACAACTAAGACCCAGTGCAACCAAATAAATAAATAAAATAAAATTAGTGGCTTAAAAAAAAAAAAAGCCAGAGGTGGGCTTCATCAGGCCCCTCAGAGAGGAGTTGACTCCAGCGGTGGCAGAAGGCACCCACAGTGGTAACAGCTCTGCATTGGTCGGTGTCCTGGCAGGGAACAGACAGCACATTTAAAATGAATCATTTGAAGAGAGTTAAGGGACTATCTACAAGGTTGTGGGGCAGAGTTTAAGAACAAAGGATAAGCAGAGATGTTACCATCCCTAGGCCTGGAGGGACAAGGAAGGCAGTTATGAGAATTCAGAAGGGATGGGGACTGGCAGGAGCTGTGGCTTTCCTTAAAACGAAGCATCTGACCCACAGGAACCTGGGAGGGAGCTGAGGAATAAATATCCCAGCCTCACTCTCCTCTTTGCTCCCCATCTCCTGCTGGCACCTCCTCAAGCCAGTCCCAATCAGAAGCCAGAAGTTAAGGGAGTCCATTGACACTGCTTGCATAGGTTGACTTCCTGGGACACAAGCAGAGTACAGAAAGGTGTGGAAAGGTTCTGGAGGAAGGAGATATCTGGCACAACCTTCCTCAACTTGGGCCCCATTTGCTCTTCTCTGCTAGGCTGCTGCCCACTGAGTGCTTCAGCAGTGGTGGACACCAAGATGCTCTAAACAGGGGGGCAGGTGACAGTGTTACAGGGATACCCTCTTTTCTTCAAAGACTCTGGCCATCTGTCCTGACCCCCAAAGTCCACCCAATCTGGGTCCCTTGGGATGCTGTGGCTAGAGGGATTGGGAGCTCTGGGACTGGAGAGTTACTGTGGATAAGTTACTGTGGATAAGCCTTTTAGTCAGCTTACCTTAAGAATGAAAGATCAAACTAGGGCAAGGCTGCACTCTGCTCAGGGGTGAAATGGCTGATTTGGATAAAATGGTCCCTAAAATCTCAGCTCTGACTTTTGGAGTTTGAGATCATTCCTCAACCACTAGCATGGCAACAGGAATGAGCTGTGTGTGTGTGTGTGTGTGTGTGTGTGTGTGTGTGTGTGTACTAGGCCACAATTCAGCCTCAGTGTGTGTGTGTGTGTGTGTGTGTGTTAGAGGGCAATTCAGACTCTGTGTGTGTGTGTGTGTGTGTGTGTTAGAGGGCAATTCAGACTCTGTGTGTGTGTGTGTGTGTGTGTGTACACGGCGCCACTTCAGCCTCAGTGTGTGTGTGTGTGTGTGTGTGTGTGTGTGTGTGTGTGTACTAGGCCACAATTCAGCCTCAGACACATCCCCTCTGCCTCAGTCCTGCCCACATCCTCCTCCTTCTAGGGCAGAGAGCTCAGACGCTCACCCGACAGACTTCATTGAAGGGATCCTGAGAGGTTCCACCGCCTGTGCCTGAAGTTCTTCCATTTCAGACCACTTTCCATGATCTTGGGCAGCTAGCTCCCCAGTTCTTTCGTGATCTGGTGTAACTGTGGCCACGTTTTTCCTTAATTTTTCCCTAACTTTGTATTAGCTTTGCCACACGTAATGCTCCACATTTTGCCTTAAACGTACCACTTCGTTCAGCCAATTCTTTTAAATATTGTGTTTTGTTACAGAAGCATTAGAATTATACTTCAGAAAGGTTGGGAAATGCAGTAACAAAAATCTACCTGTAATCCTACTGCCCTAGTGCAACTAGTATTATTTTTGTGTATTATCTTATAGTTTGTTCATATGAATGATGATTTACATAGTCATCTTCATGGCATATCTGATTTTTTTTTTTTTTTTGCCATGCCACGCAATTTGTGGGATCTCAGTTCTCTAACCAGGGATTGAACCTGGGCCACAGCAATGAAAGCCCAGAGTCCTAACCACTGGGCCACCAGGGAACTCCCTGGCATATCTGATTTTTTTACCCATATTATATCACAACTTTCTCCCCCATGTTTCTGTGGAGTCTTCACAATGCTTGCAGCCTCTTGAAGATAATTGGCTATTTGTGGCTGGCTGTTGTCTTTTTGTTTTGTTTTGTTTTGTTTTGTTTTGGGTACGCGGGCCTCTCACTGTTGTGGCCTCTCCTCCGCAGGAGCACAGGCTCCGGACGCGCAGGCTCAGCGGCCATGGCTCACGGGCCCAGCCGCTCCGCGGCATGTGGGATCTTCCCGGACCAGGGCACGAACCCGTGTCCCCTGCATCGGCAGGCAGACTCTTGACCACTGCGCCACCAGGGAAGCCCTGGCTGTTGTCTTTTATTTGCTTGAAATACAATATCATTTTTGAATAATTTAAAAAAATTTTAAAGAAGATAAAGAGCTCGTAATCTCACCACCCAGATAGTACAGAATTATATACAGACTACGCAGACAATTCTTAAAAATACTTTAAAAAAAAAGACATGGTGATACTTATAAAAGTAAAAAC